AAGAACATGGTGTCTCCAAATGTGGTTTGATAAACAAGGTTCGGGAGGAGCAGGTGCAGTTAATTAACCCAATCAGCACCAGTGGAGAGCAATCAGTAATCAATCTAGGCCAAGATCAATATCAGCAGAACCCACACTTGCTCCTTGGCAGTTTATCAGCATCCCACCTCCACCCCGTCTCCTCTCTCTTACTTCCATCTCCTCTTACCACGAGGGAGTGCTCTGGGCTCGGGTCCCTCCACCCGGACAGCACGCCGAGTACGCATAATCTTCTTTATCATAATTATATGTAGATGCGAACTCGTGAACAAAGCAGTGTGAGGCCAAGGAGAGTCCCTTCACCCACTGAGGTCAGTCCAGACACCCGCACCGCTGGAGGAGACAGGATTGGTCAAGAACCGACAGATTAGCCTTATGGGGAAGGTGTATTTAAGCAAGAACAAGTGGTCTAGCTTTTACGCCATTTTAAATAAAGAGGGTTTTGAGTCACGGCTCAACTTTTATGGCTTCTTGTGCACTCTAAAAAGAGATGTGTTAAAAAACAACACACATCATGTGTTGATGGTATTTTGACACAAGTTGTGTAGTTTTTAACACACAATGTGTGTTAAAATGTAACTGGATAGAATTTTAATGGGTGGAGGGAAGTTTGTGTTTATGAACCTAATTAGAGGTAGTGTATTTTATATTGTATCCCATAACAAGCTCTAAAATAAATGAAACAATACATTACAATAAATAAATAAAATCTTAATTCATAAAAAACTTCAGATTAATGAGTGTTTTTGGCAGCCAATCACATCATGCCTTGGTTTCAATGTTTTTTTCAAATGCTGATTTCACTTGTTATTAATAACTAATTTATTATAACAAACAATTTATTTCTGTCAGACGTCTACAGAAACACTTATTGAGAATTACCAGGTTTTGTGTTGACGATTCATTGAATGTTTGTTTTGATGTCACCAGAATCGTGATTAGTGGCAGCTTTATTTGGGCTCTTGACCCTTCACTCTTTACCATTCGTTTCTCTGTTTGCTGTTTCTGTGTATTTATATTGCACATCTGAAACAGTTGAAATTATCTTGAGGAAAAAGATCATTAAATGATCATTTTTCAACATGATGTTTTTTAACATAGCACGAGAAGTTTAATGTTTAAGAGATAACTTATATTTGATCACTTATATTTGATTACAGATATTCAGTGTTTACATGATATTATGGTGTATGCTACCTTATGCTATAATTCTTTAAAAAAATATGTTTAGAGAAAGTTTAAAGCTGCTGCAGAAACTAGTCAAATACAGACATCAAGAATCAGCATATGACTCTCAACAATGGTGGCAAAGCATGTCTCTAGTACAAAGCTCATCCATAAGTCCCAGCATGCATTGCGGCATGAAACTTTTCGTTTGTCACCATTATTGAGATCCATACGCTGATTCTTGATATCTGTGTTTGACTGGTTTCTGCTGTAGCTTTGAACTTTTTTTGTCATTCTGCACTTTTTAATTGCTGGATGTAGTTTCACAAAACTTTCAGAACTAACAATAAATCATTAAAATAAAGCACCCCATCCATATACTCAAAAACTTGATCATAACTTGCTAATTATGACATCATCAAGAACCTTCTGATCATATTTTCTGACACTATAACAGATGTATTTTACTAAAATACAGTTACAGCAGGCAGAGAAACACTAAAACAAGAGTAAAGGGTCAAGACCCCAAATAAAGGAGCCATTAATCACGATTCTGGTGACTTGAAATAAAACTGAAATGAAACATCAAACCTCTGTTAATTCTCAATAAGAGCTTGTCTATATAGATTAATGATGTTTAAAACATCCAAATGTTCAAACAAACTCTATTAGACATCACTGGACTACATAAACACAAGTTACCAATACGTGTCAGTGTTCATCCGAACACTTTTGTAAGCACACGGGAAGTAACTCTGGCAAATACTCTCCGACTACAGTCACATGTGACGCATATCTGACACAAGTTGTGTTACTATAACACATTAGTGTGTAAAAGGTTTCAACAACACACTGCTGCTGTCTAACACATTAGTTGTGTTAAACGTAACACAAAATGTGTAATCCTTATAAACACAGAGATGTGTAAAGAAACAACACAGGTTGTGTGTTAAATTTGACACAACATGTGTTGTCCTTAAGCAAACACACTACATGTGTTAAAATCTACAAAACGGGTTAAAATCTACACAACATGTGTTAAAATCTACACAAAATGTGTTGTCCCTGAGCACACACACTACATGTGTTAAAATCTACACAGCATGTGTTAAAATCTACACAAAATGTGTTGTCCCTAAGCACACACACTTTATGTGTTAAAATCTACACAGCATGTGTCATTTTTAACATCTCTTTTTACAGGTTGTGTTATTTACAAAATCATTTTATAAGAGTGCACCAGTGTAAATAAAACTTATAAACACAATATTTTGTCAGTTGCTACATTTTAATCTAATTCAAAGTGCAAACTTAGTGAAATCACACTCCGTGTTAAGAACAATAACACACTAGTTGAGTTAAAAGTAACACAAAATGTGTTGTCCTTAACTAGACACACAGGTGTGTTAAGATATAACACAGGTTGTGTTGTTTTTAACACATTCATTTTAAGAGTGTGGTTACTAATTGAGGAACAGTGGGTTTGCAAAGCTCAATGTAGGCCATTTATATTTCCTCAAATGTGTTGTTTGGTGTGCTGATTCACCACCGACTTTACACCAGCATCACATTTCCTTCGGTTGGAGTACATTGGTGGATTATACATATTCCCTTTTCCAACTCGTTTCTTGTTTAGCTTGGAAAGTTTTTCCTTCATAAGTGCAGATGGTTTAAATCTAAACCCAACTTTAACCAGTGGATGAATGAGGATAAACTCTTAATCTTTAAAATTAGTCAAAAACCATTTTGCTTTTAGATACGTATAAATTATAAATTTTAAAAGCCCATTTTGATTTACTAATCAAAAACAAAAACAATCAAAAAATCAATCAAAAACTTTATTGATAAAGGCAAGCAAATTAAATGACAGATTAATCCAGCATTAGTAAAGTGAGATCTGTGTCTTTGAGAGAAATGTGTGTGTTTAGTGGAGCTTCAGTATTAGAGATCTGAACTATAAGAACAACACAAGACATGTGAGACTTTAACTGTGATTAGAAGTCATTTTTAAAGTCCCCAATCAAATATGAATGACTCGATCAGTAAAGAATCAGTATTTACAATGACAAACACTCACATTAACACTTTGAGCACTAATGAGTTCAGGAGAAAATATGTTGCTGTTTGTTCTCAGATTATGAAATAAACCACATTAAAAATAAACATACAGTAAATGCCAGCATATAAAGCCATTACACATATATGAAGATTAATAAATGACTAAAAATAGTAATCTGATAAATGACACATTAGGTTTCTGATGTGTGAATATGAGCTTGATCTCGTTCAGCTCTTCTGGATCTGATTTCATAAACCACAAGAATGACAGTAGCCACGCCCACCAGAGCAGAGAGGACCAATCGGATCGCAGCTTCAGTAGGACCACAGCAGTGGACAGAGTCTGAGGAGTAAAAGCATCAAACTGAGATCAGATCAGTTCATAAACGCTAATATCACAGCTGAGAGAGAAAAGAGAAATAAGAACAAATCTAATCAACAATCTTCTTTCAGTTCAATCAGTGTATGATCCATCATCTCAAACTATACAATGACTCAACAATTAATAAATATGTAAATAATTGGTTAAAAACAAGAATGTTTGAAGGACAGGAGATGATCTCTACTCACCATAGACTGAAACTCTGAAAGCTTTTACTGAGAACCTGTGATATCTCATACCAATGATCTGCAGTTTATAATCTCCAGCTTGTTCAGTTGTGATGTTTGTGATGGTCAGAGATCCAGTTTGATTGTTCAGCTTCAGTCTGTCTCTGAATCTCCCGAGATAATCATCATATACAGCGATTCTGTCGTACATTACATTAATTTCAGCGATTAAAATGTTTTCATCTCCAAATATCCACCGAATCCAAACATAATCCTTTATTTCAGTGAGATCAGAGTTTATAGTGAGTGATTCTCCCTCCATTACTGATATTTCAACTGGATCAACAAACAGAAACAGAGTTAGCAGAGATATTTATATTTATATTTCAAATGAACAATTTCATAAAACAAAAACAGAAAAGAAACAAAATGGTGTTTAGATTCATATTGTTTAGTTTGATTAAAAAATAAAATGGTAAAACAAATATTTAACCAACCAAAGACAGCAAGAAGGACTCTAATGACTGGAAACCGCATAGATTCAGTTTCTCCAGCATATTGTCTATAATCTCCAGCATGTTCAGTTGTGATGTTTATGATGGTCAGAGATCCAGTGTGATTGTTCAGCTTCAGTCTGTCTCTGAATCTCCCATCAAGAACATCATCATATACAGCGATTCTGTCGGCCGTTACATTGATTTCAGCGATTAAAGTTTCAGTCTCATCATTATAATCTTCAAACCTCCACTGAATCACATCATCATCCTTTATTTCAGTGAGATCAGAGTTTAGAGTGACTGATTCTCCCTTCATCGCTGACCTCAGAGTCACTGATCCTGATATCAGAAACACACACAGAACAAACACAAACAGGGTTTTTCAAAATAATACTGTGAAATCACATCACAATGTTTTAGTAAATAGTTTAAAATGTCAGTTTGAAATAAACAATATCATAAAACAAACAAAAAGAAACATAATGGTGAATGAATTAATTTAAATGTTGTCATTAAAAACAGGTGAAACAAATGTGTTTAGCCTCACCAAAGTAATAATCGATACCAATATAGATCGTCCTCTTTCTCACACCGTTGATCTGTAGAGAATAAAGTCCAGTCTCTTCAGTTGTGATGTTTATGACGGTCAGAGATCCAGTGTGTTTGTTCAGCTTCAGTCTGTCTCTGAATCTCCCATCAAGAACATCATCATATACAGTGATTCTGCCGGCCATTACATTGATTTCAGCGATTAAAGTTTCAGTCTCATCATAATAATCTTTAAACCTCCACTGAATCACATCATCATCCTTTATTTCAGTGAGATCAGAGTTTAGAGTGACTGATTCTCCCTTCATCATCATCATCATCATATTCTTCACCAAACACACCTGAAGAACAGAGTTTTCCACAAAGCTTTAAATCACTTGATGTTGGTTTGATGAAGCTTCACTAGAATAACTTTAATTCATTTAAATGTGATATTAATAATATTCTTCGGCAACACAAAGACAAAAGATGGAAAATTAAATAGTAGAAATAGATTTATATATGGAACAAAAACTAAAAAGACACTTTAACTTTAATGTTTTAACCAGTTCTAGGTTGAATTGACTGTTGCTGTATAAACTCATGCTGTGCTTCTTTTCTGTCTTTAGTAGATTTCTTAAACATTATTGTATTTAAAAAAATCGAATAAACACACAGAAGAAGCACAGCATGTGCAAACTATTATATCCATATATCTTTAGTAGATGTTAGTAAATTTTAGCGCTGTCCTGTAACAGTGAATACATATATCAGTTAGTGGGAATTTACATTACGTCTTGGGATGAGACTGTGTTAGTATTACACGGCAAAAAGTGCACATCATACACACGCCAAAACTATTTCTGTTTTATATAACAAATAAATATACAGCCTATAAATGGCAGGAGAAATGTAATTTGTGGTAAATACGCACTTTCATGAGATGGGGCGGTCCTGACCCACTTTCTGCCTAATAACTGAGTTTAGACCTGAATTCAAACTTGCTCTCACAGTAAAATCAGCTCAATTATTTCTACATGTGAATAACAGTTAAATTTAATAATCGCTGGATAATTTAACCTGTAATTTATTACATGAGAAGAGAAACAACCAAAGTAATATTTAAAACTCACCATCCAGACGGCAGAAACACAGACAGAAGAAAACAGTGCGAAACATCTTCAGTCCACAAATATGAAAAGACAAACTCTTCAAAACGGCTTCAGGAATAAAATGACAGATGATCTGAGGTGAAGCTGCTCTTAGTAACATGAAGTCAAACTCCACCAACATCTGAAGTAACTGCACATCTAGAAGTGTTAATGCATGTGACCATCTTGCGCTTTATTTCTGATAATTCACACTGAACTTTATCACAAGTGCGCCACAATTTCCTCTGAAGTGTCATGTTCATCAGAAATCCACATGTGTGAAAAGTGTCTGAATCAACAGTTTGCTACTTTGATAAGAAAGCATCAGCTAAAGTTATTGCTCATGTAAGCATTACTGATGAAGAACAGCGGATGAATCGTCCTCATCTGTAATGTTACTGTATGGGATCATCAGCACAGAGAGAGAATTAAGGGAAGACACACACAGACTGGTTGTTTTAATGTAAATCATACGCTCACATTGCCAATGAGTTCATTGTGACGGGACAATCAGTCTGGAGTGGGACACGCTTTGTGTTTCTACAGTCACTCTGTGCTAAAGCTTTCAGTTTAACTCACGAAGGACATTTAGGCGTGATGGACACCAGAGCGAATCTTCAAAGTCCTTGTCCAGCTTTATATGAGGAGCACTGCTGAAATTTGCTCAAATATACACTAAATATACAATAAATGTCATGAAACACGGAGAGACTCTTGAACCCTTATTGATTAAGACAAATACATGACAAGTGGACAGCAGTTGTCAACTTAAAAATTGTAAAAAAAAAAAAAAAAAGATTTCCTGAACAGAAACAGTGTCTGTCACTGTGTGAAAGCTGTTAAAAAAAGTGTTAAATTCACAGTTGAAAACGGCAGCTGCGGTTGCCAGAATTTTACTGTAAAAAAATGCAGTAGCAACATTTTAGGTTTTATTGACTTAACTAAAATTAAAAAACATATGTTTTTCAATTACATATAGGTTTTATGTTACATTTAAAGTTGTTTAATTACAATATTTCATTTAGTAAATGTCATGTGTGTGTGACCATGATGGTGTTTAATGTGTGTGTGAATGACACTGTCCAGCTTCTATATATAGGCTATGTGCACAACCGTAGTTTCGAACTTCCGGTCTACGATTGGTCATCCGCATCCACTAATAAACAAACAAGATGAGTGCTGCTGTTATACGGATAAAACAGTTCTTAAACACATCTAAGTTTCTAAGAACTGTAGTGGATCTAACCTCCGTTTCACACCCGTTTGCAGTGTGTGTTGCGGTGCAGGAGCGTGCTGTTAGTGCGTTCACATATTATGATGCGTTTGCACAGTGAATAACTGATCCGCGGCTGTACAACAAACACATTAATATTTTTATTTAAAGTCCAGAAGTTATGCTGCAACTTATTTTTTAAAACAATGCACGTTTAAACACAATTTAAACAATGTAAGTTCCCAGTAAACACAGAACGTTCCCCTAACGTTCCCATATGGTTCCCATTTGGTTATTTTTTTGGGAACCAAATAAGAACGTTCTAAGAACGTTCTCTGTAGGTTTTTTTTTAATAACCTAAAGAGAACGTTCCGGGAACGTTCCCTGCAGGTTATTTTTAGATTTAATTTTATAACCTAAAGAGAACGTTCTGGGAACCAAAAAACACTGTTCTGGGAACCAAAAACTAACTTTCTGAGAACCAAAAACTAACGTTCTGAGAACGTTCTGGGAACCAAAAACCACTCTTCTGGGAACCAAAAACTAACTTTCTGAGAACCAAAAAACAACGTTCTGAGAACGTTCTGGGAACCAAAATCTAACGTTCTGGGAACGTTAAGAAAACTTTCCCAGCTAACCAAAAACAAACCACAAAAAGTAACGTTCTGAGAACCAAAAACTAACGTTCTGAGAACGTTCTGGGAACCAAAAATTGTTAGCTGGGTTACTCCATGCATTACAAGTTGCTCAAGCAAGTGGTCAAATATTTCCTATATTAAAATCGCAAATAATTTAAATTAAAACTTGAAATTGACAAAAGCAGCAGATTGCCTTTTCGTTGGCATCTTAATTTTAAAACAACAGATCTTGCATGTCACAAAACTTATTTTTCCACCTCCACGATCGAGACGAGTTCATTCTGTCGCCTGGTTGAAGTAAATTGTAGTTTTCCTTGATTAAATTTGCATTTATGGTGAGATTACTACATTTTATTTAATAAAACGCATTTATGGTGAAATTACTACATTTTCAGGTCAATCATTTTGACCACCAGCGTTTGCAGCACAGCAGAAATAGATTCGGTGTGGAAACGATCGCTGTGCTGCTGTTATATGTACCACACCAGTGAAAAGTGAAAGCCAGGTTGCTAAAATAATACTCGATTACAAGCAAAAGTACTGGTGTTAAAAATGTACTTAAAAGTACAAAGTACCCCTCTCAAAAACTACTCACGTACTAATTACTTTTTAGCCTGTGATATTTATTTACTTTTATGGAAACCAAATTATAAAAATGGTCTAATATGATTATTATTATTAATAAATTATAATGCAAAATAAATAAGCTTATTGGGTTATTTTTTTTATAAACTTCTTTTTTCTTTTTCCCCCCAAAAGTACCCTACTAATATTTCAAAAGTTTCAAATGTTATCAGCATTTAGCACTGACACAAATGCACAATCTAGACAGACTGTCAATTAGTGCAGTTACACTGTTATGCCAGTGGGTCATGGCCGGCAAGATACTGTTTTTATGAAAGAGTCATTATTAAACTCTTCATTCTAAGCTTAAAACACTGATTCAATATTAATAAAACAATGTGTTGACAATGACATACAATCTAACTTTTTAATCTAAGTTTACAATGCTAAATCTTTATTACAGTATATGTGCTTGTCACCTGAGTAACGCTGAAGCTCATGTTTCAAGTGATGTTTTTAGTCAAATTATCGTGAGGTCTACCTAACTTTAAAAACGAAAACAACTGAACTATCACATAAATGTACCATAATGTATTTTCTGAGATTAGAGGCTGAAGTCTTGTAAGCCAAAATCACTGCAGAAACAAAGTTTCTATAAAACGCACGCTGTCTCCTTTCCTTCCTCTGTATAAGAACAACTCCTCCATGTGGGGTCATGGGCACTCGTCATCTGGTATTTCTTCGGAATTTTCAATGAATTCAGCGTCTCGAACGGCAAAGTTCTTTGATAACATTAAAATACACACTGAAGGACGTGTGAGGACGAATAGCTCTCCAGAAACCGGGATATTTTCCCAGTCCAAATACAAGGGTTTTTATTGGCCCGCCCACGATCAGTTATTTCCGTTGGATACCCAAATGCTGGTCAAAGATTTGAATAATTGTTAAATTCAAATTTTACAAGTACTTTGTAATTAATGGGTTTTTTAAAGTAGTGAAGTACATTACTTAACTTAATTTGTACTCAAGTACAAGGAAAATTACAGACTTAAAAATGTACTCATAAAAGTACAAGTACACAAAAAAACTACTTAATTACAGTAATCTGAGTAGTTGTAATTCGTTACTTCCACCTCTGCAAACGGGTGTGAAACGGACGTTAGATCCACTACAGTTCTTAGAAACTTAGATGTGTTTAAGAACTGTTTTTTTCGTACAACAGCAGCACTCATCTTGTTTGTTTATTAGTGGATGCGGGTGACCAATCGTAGACCGGAAGCTGATACGCCAACTTCTGACAAAAGCGGAAGTTCGAAACTACGGTTGTGCACTGTAATAACTTGCAGGAGACAAATCCGTTCAATGCAGTTCATTTACTCAAAGCACATCAAGCCAGCAGTACACTTGAGCACAGTCCAGGTGGAACACATGTCTGCTAACATGCCCCCTACAGGTTAATCTACAAAAACTCACTCTACAACATTCCTTTCCCCCTAAGTTTACAATATAATCAACATCTATAACATCATGTGCCCACAATACAGTTACATTTTTTATTTTATTTTATTTTTTTACAATTTTTTTTTTTTTTTCTCTTTTCATTTTTTTTTCTTTTTAACTAATTTCATAATCTTTCAAATAGCCAGGCAATTTCCTGGTTCTCTGTGACCTCCTCATAATCACAACAGGACTAACAGATTTGTCCATTTCAGTTATTATCCCAGCAGCTTGAGAAGAATCCTCAGATACTTCAAAGGGATCAACTTC